TTAGTCAGCTCGCTGGGGGAAAAACAACAACAACAACAACAACAACAATAACAATAACAAAAAAACCCAAAGATTCCTCCCACCTTCGAGATCATTCATCATCAGAAGGGGGGTTTCTAGCCCTACACGAGAAAAATCTCACCCTAAAAAAGTACTGCAGCACCGCTGTAGGAAGCAAGCAGGCATGTTTAGAGCAGACTTAGTAACGGCTAAATTTTTCATTTTGGCTGGACTGCCCCTTCAACTGTATTTTCTGGAGGAGGTTCCCCTTTTTAATGTTGGTTCCTCTCAGTGTTTCTTCCTCATAGGGAGTTTCTCCTGACACTCAGCTGTGTTCCTCAACTTGCTCATAAGGGGCTGGACCTGGATTTCTGGGGAAAAAGTGTTTTGGGACAAACAAATAAAAACACTGTACAAATAAAACTGAACTGAACTGCAATGAAATCCTCTAATCCAAGCGGACTGTTTACATTACTGTGTCGCCACGTTATGGAGTTTGTGACAGTTTTGCTTCTTGGTGCAGCAGCTAAATAAGTGTTAAGGCAGTCCTCCTCTCACACTTCAGAGGTTTGATAGTACACTTTAATATCACTGACACATGATGAGTATGTTAGCTACTCTGTCTTCGTGCTTGGTCAGGGTTTCGAGCTTCGCATATAGGTTAGGTTAACTCGCAACTTCCCGTGTGAAGTTGTCGCCAACAGCTGTCTATTACTCTGAGAAGCCAAATATCACAAGCAAGACAACTAAAAATGACATCTTTGACACATAAGTGAGCCAGTCAGCCATTTAGCGGAGTGGACGGTGCTCTGTAACATCAGACTTGAAGCAAAAACAGTGGCTAAAAATACAGCCAGCTGCTGTTTTCATGTCGACAGCTCCCCGACCATGCTAGCCAGCTACCAAGCTGAAGTCAGCTTCTTATCCGCCAGCTTCTCGCTCGAATTCCCCCTTTCCACCTTAAATGGTGCAGCAGTTACATTCTGGACTCTGAGGTCAAGTCCAGTCAAGCCCGGGGAGGCCAGGTCCCGGTCCAAACGGGAAAACCTCGAACCAGAAGCCAACTTCAGCCTCGTTAGCCAGCTAACGTTAACCAGCTACATGGCAAGTTTTGCTCGCTGCGAGCGCAGCTAACGAGGACACGGACGGAGGAAGCCGAAAGCCGAAACCCCTCACCTTCACATAGAGTAAGAGTTGGTAGGATCCGATTCTTCTCCGAACATTTTATACACTTATTAATGTACTCATGCCGTGGACATCTGTTCGCGCTGCTGCCATCTTGTCCTGGACAACTGGAGAGGAGACGTCGCTCTCGACAAAACCACCACCTCCTCCTCCTCCTCCCACATGTTAAACTTCAAAATAACTCACGAACACAGCGCACTCAGGGAGGCCGAACTGTGTCCCGGACATCGCAATGCAGTCAGCCTACTGATTGGTACGGTCAGTTGGGCGCTGGAGCCCATTTTTCACTCGGGTACCGCGCTCCCCTCCTTCGTCCCTGTCGCTCCCTCCAGACTCTCATCTGCGGGAGAAATGTTTTGGGCTTATGACATGGAGCCAGACATAGACAAACGACCCGAGAACTATCGATCCACAGAACAGCGGCAGCGTTCCAATCTGCGCACGCGTGTTCTAACTAGGATGTCTAGCTAGTGCGGACTATTCCGGCCGCCACGTCGGCTTTTAGGACATAGCATACCAGCTTCTCTGTAATATTCTGGACGGCTAATTAAAACGTGTTAAAAGTACATTATTGTAAAAGGTGGTTCTTTAAGGGTTCTTAGTAAGGCAATGGTTCTATTTAGAAACATGAGTTCTATATAGAACCATTTGCATGCTTAAATTCTTTGGAGAATGTGTTGTATATGGTTCTATATAGCACCAAAAAAAGGTTTTGCTATTGTTACAATGGCAAGATGCCTAATGCATTTTTATCTATTTTTTTTTTTAATCACTGCACCGGAGAAGTAGCCTGACAGTGCTTTGTTATACTGTACAAACATGTATTTGTATATTTACAATAAAGTTGAGTTGGATTAAATTGAAATTAATTGAATTTGTAACTATAGAAGAACGCTTTTTTGTAAGTAAGATGTAAATCAGGCATATATTTTAAATTATATGTACATATATATAGTGTTCAAATATGTATCAAATAATGGTCATTTATGCATAACATGGATCATACATATATGGTTGAATTCATCTCAGTATAGGCATAATTGTTACTATAACTAATTTCTGTTTTTTGAATATTAAATTATTTACATGCATCAGGGAACAATATTTCAATGTATTTCATGTTCTAATGATTTTATTGCATAGTTTACTATGACCACATTTTTAGAGTTTAGTTATATAGCAAAAAAGAAGATGCATACAAACCTTATATTATATAACATTCAGTTAGCATGTATGAGTAATATATGCCATTCATATCTGACATGAAACACTCCACTCAAGAGAAACAGAGCCAGAACTGTTCACAGCAGTGATGATAGGAACCAGACGTCTGAAGCATTGAATGTCTCTAAAAACTCTCTCACAAGTTATGCGATGACTGAGACACCATTTTACAACAGTTATGTGATAATATATTAACTGTTCATGGCAGGTTGTTGTATGTTAAAACGCTACACAAAGAAATTGGATTTTATTTCAAATAATCACTCTTTTACTATAATCAACATCACATATAAAACGCAGAAGACACACGAAGGTTCACTTGACATTTAGTAAAACAGTTATGAGGTCAATGTACTTTCCAACTGCAGCTGGTTTAACTGTACTGATGTTGCATTCATAACAGCTGTGAACTCACTTTCCAACCTACTTTCCACCTCAAAGCATCCACACAGCCAACGGTTTGAGGTCAGACAAACAAACAAAAAAAAAAGGAATTAAGCTCATAGAATGTAGCACTTGATTGGCTGCTGTGTGCACATATTAAGCTCTTATATATGTAAAGAAACTCAAAACATGTTACTCTTTGTCCACAGGCGCCGGTGATGCAATGTCACAGCATTGCAACTTGGAGAAGTCAGAGTTCTGTAGAAATTCTAAAAATCAGACTTTCCAAGTGGGAATTAGGAGTTGGATGGCCATTCAAGTGGATTTTTCCTTCGTGGAAATTGGAAACTTCCCAGTTCCCAGATGGCCATTAATCCAGCATGAGCACAGGATAACTGAGAAATTTATACTTGCTAAAATGTTCCAATACAGAATGCATGTATGGCAATTGGAACACAGCCCTCTTCTGCTTCCTTTTTTAAAACTCAAAGATTTAATTATATTATAACATAAATTCTTGAACTTACGCATGTTTATGTCTGTCAGTTGTAAATGTAGTAGCCTTCAACCTATTCACTATACGGATTTGCCAATATGAAAAATAAATACAACAATAAATAAGTTGCCTCGTACATAAGTAAAATTAAATGATGTATATAAGATATCTTTGGGTTTTGTTTGTGTTTTTACCTACTAATAGTTTTTTTGAACATATGTATTCCTCAGTTTATTTACTAATGTATTAATTTGCTAAGTTTTTTTATTAATGTTCTTTATACGTTCACTTCAGTCATATTTAAATCCATTGTAGAAAACACTGATTTAATTAATTAAATTACATTTACATAAATGTTGCATGTGAGAACATTAATTGAGAATTGGACAGTCTTTTTCTGTGCACTCACAGAAACTCAGATGAGGACAGTATGTGTCACATATAATGTGTCACATATAATGTCAACGTTCTGGTATAAACACAACTGTACGATCCACGTGATCCACCTGTTCTCGTTAATAATCAGTGAGGTCAGTTCTGAAAACTGCCTATTATGTCATCTAGCTGAGTATTTTATCGATAAGCTCTGTGCTCGTTGAAAATGGTCTGTTTCTTCTTTGCCGTCTCCACTCTACCTCCCTCTGCTGGTGGATAAAGGAATTACTGCTAGACTAGCTCAGAAAAACGTTCTGACAGCGCTTTAATTAGCGACACTAAAGGCCCAGGACTGGATGAAAAAACATTTACTGGCATTACAAATGATCGTAACCCCATGAACCCTAACTGTATTACTGACTCGCTGATCCTAAGACTCCAGTAATGTACTGTAGTAAGAGTTATTCAGCAGACTTATTATGCAGTATTGTAAATTATTTACTAGTCACTATGAAACTAATGCACGCTGTGTAGGTCTGAGAGTGAGTGAAGTGTGTGAATCTTAAAGTAGCTAAATTCACTAATATGTAGGCGTATCTTGATACTTTTGGACATATATTATTTATATACGTGACCTGCGGTGAGGTCTGATCCCATCTCAAATATTATATGGACAGAATTAACTGCATACACACATAGAAACACAGACAGACCTCCCAGCTGAAACTTTAAACCCCTGAAATGGCTCTGAATAAGGCTGTAAAGATCTAGTACGTGTTAGAACAGGCCAAAATAACGTTTTCTATAACTCTGTAAACCTGTCAGGCTCAAAGCCTACCGCTTCTGTTTTATTCTATCGCCATTTACACATATATATTTCTGTTGCTACTACTGTTATGCAAAGCATAGTCCTGACATTCTGACTCTCAAAGACGGGGCAACAGTCAGTGGATATCGAACACAAAGTATGTTTTGACTTATCAAATAATCACGTATTACCCCAAAATATTTTTTTCTAAATTTTTCCAAGTCTAAATTGGAAATAAATCGAAAACTTAAAAATAATTTAAAAAAAAAACTTCTAATAAATCTTACGTCAATCTGTAGTCTTGGCATTCTCCTGCCAGACACAGAGATGGGGAGAACATCGGTGATATTTCCTCGAAAAGGCCACAGAAGCGTAAAGAAAGCGCAAATAAATAAATAAATAAATAAATAAATAAAATAATAAATAAGCAAGCTTAAACCGCCTTGCGTGACGTAGCTCCGCCGTGCTTACGTATGACGTTGTCGTGCTACCATGGTAACGGATGTAAACGGAACAGCGCGCTGCCTGTGCCGTTCCGAGTCGTGTAACTACGTCTATATTTGCGATGTCAGCCCAGCTAACAGGAGCGGACTTACTGCGAGTTTCCGTGGTGCTGCGGGCCTGCGCGGACCAGCTGGCGGTGTTGGGCCACATCATGCCAGACACGTACAGGAGCCGCCCAGAGGCCGAGATGGTTTGTATGTGGTTAGGTGTAATAAGGATCACCGGCACACGGTCCAAATCCGCAGCAGCATAAGAGGAAAAGCACGACGGGAAACTTCTGAATCAGTGGCGTTAAAAGGGACATTCCACCAATTTTTCAAAATTATTTAGTCCTTGAGATGTGCAGTTATTCAGCTGTTTGACGTGAAACGGTTCATTGTAGAGAAACTCTCTGATGTCTTTAGAGTGGTGGTGACAGGACCCAGGGGTCACGATGTCTACAACACAAATATATAAATATTTTCTATTCAAAACCACCAGCGTGCCCACACATGCCCCATGGGTTTTAATATATAATGTTGATAATAGCCATAAATCTGAAAAAAATAAGTTATCTTTGTGGACTATTTTGCTTTACAACGCCCTACGTGTACAGCTGCGCCATGAATGGGTTAAAATAAATGAATTGGAATATGTTTTAAGCCAAAACGTTTTTACAAAACTATCATAAAAGTGTCAAGACATCAGGCAGCATTAACATTTCATGTAATAACTTTCTGTGAAGGAGCTTTTAGAAATGGGCGTCTGCTTCCTCACACCAAACCACTCTGAGTGGCTTTGTTTATGTCATTTAATTATGCAGAATTTTTGAAAAATCAGTGGAGTTCCCCTTTAAACCTACTGACACATTAGCAGAGCTGTAAGGATTCCTTTGGCCTAATGTGGTGCCTGTATCAGTTTACTCTGTGGCCATGTTAAATTCTATTTTCCACTATTACAACAGCACACCAGCTTCCCCTGTCTCTTACCTGTGTGTTGAGCAGGTAGTGGAAGGAGACATTGGTGTGGTCATGGAGCAACAGAGGGCCGCTGAGCATCACCTGAAGACTGCCCGAGGAGGTCAGGCGGAGGGTGCTGACCTGTCTGAGGCTGTGCAAGAGCTGCACAGGTCACACAGAGAACTAAACCGCACCCTGGAGGAAAGCCCTCTGTCCCGAGACAACCTGGCCAAGCTGCAGAGAGACAGGTGCAGCTAACATTTCTTCTTACTCTTAAACTCTTAGAAAAGTCTATTTCTATATATTTTTTAAACATGTGTCAAGTAATATATTTCCATGTGTTTGACATATGTAAATATTAAAAATCGACACTATTACATCTGTTCCATCTACATATGTGCATATAATTATTCAAAAACGGCACAGTTAAATATTTAGCAACTATATTTAAAAACTATACTTTAAAAATGTTTTATGAAGGAAAACATGTCTGCCTCACCACAGAGAAGAATAACTTTGCAAGGAACCATTTAAGCACTTAATTTTTTTTTTTTGTGGTCACGTTAATAGTCTTATGCAAAAGTTTGTGCACCACCGGTCAAAATATGTTCTGTTAATTTTCTAAGTGGAAATTAACACATCCTCTACAGAGAACACACGCCTGCACACTGTAATGCACAATTTCTATATATTTGCTGAACTTAACATGTTGGAAAAATATGAAACTTTAAATGTGGCCTGTTAAAAATTTATGGCACATATATTTTTTTATTTTTTCCCCAATATGTTAAACTCAGTAAATAAATAGAAATTGTGCACTAAAATGTACATACTTTAGGCCATATTTTATTGTGTTTACTTATTTTCATTTTGAAGACCAACAAAACATTTTGTTGACCATTTGACCATTGCCTGTACTATAAACCTCTTGGGTGTACATAGATTGGTTTAGCTCAGAAAAATACAAATCATATTTCAAAACAACTGCAAAGTAGCATGTCCTTGTGCAATATTTTAGAACGCATTGCAGCTGAGCTATAAACAATATTTATACAAACAGAATGCACCCACATGCCAAATTTTGATCACTGACACTGGATTTTAGGAAAGATGGCAAACAATATACTCTCAGAAATGGCAGAGGGGCGTACTGACCACACAGTTTAAAATTTCAATCCATAATTTTAAGCTAAAGATACTATATTGATTGCAATCACAATCACACTCTTATGTATGGCTAAGATTGCTTGAACAAAGTGGGGTTTTTATGTCTGGAAGCACCTTGATGATTCAGGGACCTTATGATAAAATAAAAACCCTGCTTGCAGGCAGTTTGTGGCCCAGGTGATCATGGACGTGTTGGCCGAGCTACAGAAGAAAGGCACCTTTCACAGTCTGCAACAGGCAGTGGAGGAGGAGAAGAAAAGAAAGGCTCATCTGCAGGACATAATCATCAGGTCTAGACATGAACACCAACAAACTATTATTTACAGCAAAGCACTGAGCAGTAAGTTATGCTGTAATGCACTACACACACATAAACAGTGCTCCATGTGCTGCAGGGAAGAGGAGGGTCGCCTCAAGACGAAAGCGCTACAGAGACAATTGGTTGACGTCCAAAAAGAAAAAACACAGGAGCTTCAGGTAATTACAGATTTTTACAGATCACATGTATAATTACATAATGGTTCGGTCGTCATTAAACATCTTGCGGTGTTTGGGGGAAAAAAAAACAAACAAAAAAAAACATCAGCCTTGCTGAGTCAGCATGAAAGTTATCTCTAACATAGCTTTAAATATTCAGTAACATTTCTGTTCAAGTAAAATCTTAAATTATTCAAAATGATGTACAACAAACTACTGTTGGCCAAAGTGCTGTGTAATAATTCTTGAGCAAAATAAAGCTAAAATTGAAAAAAAGTAAAAAAGAACACTGTGAGCAATGAAAACGAGCATTACATTAACCTATCAAGTCTTATTTCTTTTGCCAATGTCTCATGAATGGCTTCATTCTTTTTACAATTACATCAGAGGAGATCACAAAGAAGAATTTCTGTTAGCTAGACAACTTTATTTTCCATATAATGGAAAGTTGAATTTTCCTTCCTTATTCATTTATTTATTTTAAAAAAAAAGTTTGATGCAGTACGTAAAAGTTAACATTTCACATTATACCCTTCATACCCCAACTTATATATGAAAACTAAACAGCAAAAAAGGCTCACTATGAATTAAATGTGTTTGTGAGGTCACAAAAACCAACCCATTTACATATAAGCACGTATTCATTGACATATCTGTCTTAAAAATGCAAGAAAAAGTAAGAAAGGGGCCTTTTAAACCCAAAGTCAAGCCTGTCTGAAGGGACAATAAGGGACAATTCTATTGGACAGCCCTCGTTAGGTTTAAGTTATCCAGTTTACTGATTTGTTAAAGAACCATGCGTATAATTTTTTAATCTAATGGGTTTCACCAATCCTCATTTGCCAAAACCCATCATGCAGACTGTCTGGACCTGGTTCTTTTAAATCCAGGTGGTAATATTTACCTGTTTGTTTCCATCTAGAGGCGTGAGGAAAGTACAGCACACTTGAAGGATCAGTTGCAGGAGCTGAAAGAGAGGACAAGCCTGAAAAAGAAGTATGTGAAGAGCAGCGCTGAACTGCTGGTCTATGAGGGACGGAAACTTTACACTCAGAAGGAAAATGAGATGGAGGATGAGATAAGAGTATGTGTTTACACTTTCCTACCATTTTATACTGTCTTCAATAATACATATTCATCTGTGATCTTTCAATTGCCCTCAGGACTAATGCTATTTAAGACTGTGCTTGTTCTATTAGTTGTTACAGGAGAAGCTGGATGAAGAGACGAGGGTTCACACGGAGATGGTATCTTTCCTTAAAGACAATCAAACGGTGAGTGATATAATCCAGAAATTATACTGACACAAAATTATTTAAATATAAATCCAGGTGTAAGTCAACCCCTCATGCTGATACTGACCCGAACCTAATGTTGACTAGAGCTTGACATATTTGTGCGAACCCAACTGCTCACGTCTGGTTCAGATGTCTTTTCTCAAAAATGTGCCAGACTCGGGTCAGCTTCAAATTTCACGTTCAGATTTACTCTGCATTTGTTCTTGCTTGTGAGAAACAGTATCTTGGCCAAAAATGTAGTTTTGTTATATAAACCATGTTCTGTGACCAGAAAGAGTTTGAGGAATAAACAGAGACAGCTTACTTCTGGACAGCTGTTTAATATAATATTTTATTAATTTTTGATCTGTGATATTATTATGTCTGTTATTATCACTACAGTAATTTAACCAGGACTACTGTTAAAAACATGAGGTTTTATTCAGCATTTTGGGTGATGGATTGGCCAGTTTGGGGTCTGTTTTGGACAGAATTTGTTTGAGCTCAGGCTAATTTCGTACTCAAAAGTTGATGAGGCACTTTGGAGTTGGGTCAGGTTCAGACAGAATATTGACAGACTCAGGTTGGGTTTGGACACTAGAACTCATGTGGTTTGGGTAAAGTCAAAAGCAGGAAATTTTCAAGCTGATCAACGCATTTGAACCATGTGGCTTTTTTAATACTAAGTAGTATCTGTTCTGCTATTGTCTGTGCCTCAAGAGTTTGGGAGAAAAGCTGGAGTACTGGATGGAGCGTTATGAGAAGGATACGGAGGACAAGCAGCAAGAACTTAATACTTTAAAAATCAACAAGACCAACAACCTGGCACAGTTACAGGACCTAGCTAAAAAGGTTAGGCATTCATTTTGCACCTTTTTTATCTTCCTCAGTAACATACATTGTTGTGCAGTCAAAGACCACCCTTTATTTATGTAATTTCCAGTCAAAATGACTATTATGTACAAGTTACTCAGTTTTCAGGACATATAAACTATTAAATAATCAACTTGCATAATGAAAATAATAGATCAAAAAAGATTTCCATAAAGAGAGAATGGGACACCTAACAGCCCACCAAAACTGTTAACATCAAATAAGTCAAGCTCCACTCTTGCTTCAGGTCTGAAAAAATCCAGTAACACTTGACTTGAAGAGTGTCTACATAGCACATTCATGACATCTTACATAAACACTACATAACATGTTCATGAACTCTTAAATCAACATTCATATAGTATACATAGTTTACATGATATTAATATGGACTACTGTGTCATTTTTGCCTAGATATATTTTTCAAAATAAAAGACCCCATTTTTATTTTTGAAAAACAATATTGTTTGCAGTCCAATTTATTTCCGGACAGCCAAAATAAAAATGACCTTGCTTTGCCCCTTTGGACAGAAAGTGCTTTCTTTTTAATTATTAATTTTTTCTTAAGCATTTGTATTTTACACTGGCTGTTTTGGCTAAAGATTAAATAAATGAAGGGTAGTCTTTGACTCTAGAACAGTACTATAACATTTAATTTATGGATTTTAGTATAGAGAGACAGAGCAGGTCATCATTGAGGACCGATTGGAGAAGGAGAATCTGCGCAAGCAACTGGAGAAAGATCAGCTGGAGAGGGATGCAGCAACTAAGGTGAACTTTTGGCCTGACTTTTCTTCTCCAAGGCCATTTTTTTTGTTTGTAGGGATTCTAAAAATATGGACTGTCCACCCTACAGAAAAGATGAAAAACATGTTCCAGGCATAGCAGCCTTGCCCAAAATTTTAACCTTGTTTGATGGAGCGTACCAACATTTATTCTTTTTCTCCATTGCAGATTCAGTCATGGTGGAGGGGAAGTCTGGTTAGGAAAGGCCTTGGTGCCTACAAGAAGAGCAAGAAACCCAAAACTAAAGAGAGCAAAAAAGGAAAAGGAAAAGGAAAGAAGAAGTGATGTGTATTCTTAAAGCAAGTTATGATGGCTGTAAAGGATTCCTCAATGGAGCAAAAAAAAATATATATATATCGCAACATGGCCGAAATGGGAACTTTATTAATCCATTTTATAATAAATCCAAATGTTCATACCAGAAAATACTTTAATATTTACCTAACTTTATAAAATAACAGTAAACTTTTGATGGGACAACTGTTGAGAAAAAAATGCTTCTTAAAAGGGGAGAGGGAGAAAAGAATACACAGGTTTGGGGGTCTAAGAAGTCCACACTGTGAATATGAAGTACGTTTAGGAGTTACTCTTATGTGGGCAGCAGTACATACTTGTAAACGTATGGAATGTATTAATTTACTGTACAGACACGCAGGAGAAAATCCTGCAGAACGGTCAACATAATTTCTGCTGGGGAATACCCTAGTCAAAATAAAAAAAGAAAATCCTTAAAAAAAAATGCAAAAACATTTATAATATATTTAAAATCACTTTTAACTTCCCTTTTTAAAACTCAAGTCTCTAAAAAAGCAAGTTAAAATATAAAATAAAAAAAATCTGTCTGCATATTTTCTTTCAAACTTTTAAATCCTTTATGAAATGTGGGCAAGCATTGGTGCACTGACCTAAACGCTGTGTTATTCACCAAGAAGTGAAAATTACAGTGCCAGCTCTCCCACCCATAAGAATATTCACTTAACACCAGCCAAAATAACCATCACCAAGTAAATTTTTACATTCTACAAGTATTAAAGCACTGAACACCCCAGTTACCCTGCCAAGGTGCAGTGGTGCATCTATACTCATGCTACTGAATGAGTCTTTACTCAGCAGTGAGGACAGCCTTCTGAAAACATACTGCTGGGTGCGAGTATGTGCATGCCTGGCACAAACATATAGCTTCTGAGAGAGGACAAAATATGAGGTTTCCTGATGACAGACACAGACAAGCAAGCCATGCAAAGGTGGCTAAACCACCACAGTCCTGTTGATAGGCAACAGGACAGCCTTTGCGTGCACCCCTACTCTACACCCCCCAATTCACCTAATATCACATGCATGCATGACCTGTTAAGAATAACAACAATAAAGTAACATTTGCAAGCCCTCTCTAGAGTCAAATCGTTACTATGAGCACTGGTTGGTGCTCGGAACAGAACAGACAGGCATAGACAGTGCCTGCAAAGAAAAAAAAACAAAAAAAAACAAAAGGCTGTAGAAGTGTTTCAATCTTTAACAGTGTTTACATCTCTAGCCCCCTATAAGTTCATACACGAATAGTGCTTTGCTGTATCACTTTAACATACTATATTAAACAGTTTTATAAAGTTTGCATTACAAACCAAGTTATTCTTTACCAGCACTGCATCTACTTTAAGTGTCCATACCCTGTGGCTACATACGTACATTTCTTGTCAAATGTGCTGTGCAACATGCACGTGTTTGCCTTAACTGAGGATCACTGTCCCACTATTGAGGTGCAGCTTTTAACTTTGCCCCATAAGTTATTCTAATGCCTATAATTAGTGTAATTTATTTTAACTGTCTATTTGACCCAAATGTGGCGCTATCTTGTAAGCTGAGATAGAGCCAACTTGTGTCACCATGGCAACCGAAACTTCAACGCTCACCCTGATTGATATCTGACATGCCTCAGTCAGTCATGATCACTAAAAATAATTATAATTATAATTATAATAATATAATAATAATAATAATAATAATAATATGGTGCAAATATAACCATTAATGAGAGATAATCATGTGATAAAAATAATATTATCTATCTATAATGAATCTCACGTTTGCTGGTTGTGTGTGTGCAGCGTTTGGATGTCAGTGACTTTCCTCTTCTCTTTTCTCACTGCAACCTTTCTTCTTCCTTCAGCTGTGAAGGCTCAGCCGGTGCTGTGGTTTCCTTACAGAGCGGGTGGGTGGCGACCAGTGATGGGGAGTGGACAGTTTGTCAGGAAAAATACAGGAAGCCTCTCTAGGTCTCAGTCTCTACAGTCCATAAAGCACGAGAGGAACAAATAGAGTCTGTGTGGGCAAAAGTGGGAGAAGAATCCTTGCCTGTATCTGCTCCCCAGTCTGTGCAGGTATGGCTGTCCTACATGGTGAGTGTGGAAGCAGTGCTGGGGTTAGCTGGGGCCGTGCTGGGTGAGGGAGAGTTTTTTGGGGGGGCTAGATCCAGAAGAGCACGCACAGTCCCGGCCACCTGAGGCAAACCTTTCTCCTCCAGGATGTGGAGGGGCAGACACAGCTGGGACTGAGGCCATGTGCGCACACACAGAGACGTAAGACAGGGACAAACAAACAGAGACACAGAGATGGGGGTGGGGTACAAACAAAATTGGAGAGAGGAAAAGGGCATGTCAATGAAGAAACAAATAATGAAAAATCACCACAACTTAAAAATAATAATGGCATTTTCAAAATGGTAAACTTAATAAAATGAAGACGTCAAACTCAAGAGCATAACTTAAAGCTGGAGTGAAAGATTAATGGCAAATCAAAGCCATGATCTTAAGGAAAACTGGGAGGAAGAGAAAATAGAGGGACAGCAGTGAGGGAGGTATGGGTGAAGAAGAGATTTTTTTTAAACATTTCACATGAAATAAGAGCACCTAGGGGTATGCATAACGTGCGCCAGTCTCAAATGGAACCTAATAACTAGAGCTGGGTATCAATTTTTCAATACCAATATGATACCTTGATTTCAATACCAATTCCTGAATTACATATAAAACATATTACAAACTTACAAACTGAAAACAGCAGTGGCTTAAAGGGGAATCCTACGATTTCAAAAATTCTGTATTATTCAACCATTGCAATGTGGACAAAGTCATTCAGAGTGATCTGATGGAAAATGGTGCACTGTAGAGTAACATAATGACTTTTCTTTTAACAGTGGTGGTGATAGGAACCAGGAGTCATTATGTCTACAATGCAAACACAGCCATTTTGTTTCCTATCCAAAACGATCAGTCGATCTACATGTCTGAGTTTTTGTACACTATCTATCCAAAAGTATTCAGACACCTCATCTGGTTAATGACTTCAGCAACTTTAAGGTGCATCCACTACTGACACAGGTGTTCAATTGTGTACACACAGCTTGTATATATGCTCTGGAGCATCTGCACATGAGCCTAAGGTCACCATGCCCAATGCCAAGCCTTGTGTGATGGAGCCCTATCCCATACCTTTGGCACGAGCTTGAATGGTGTGCGTGATCGAGAACATTAGCACCTGATCTCACTAATACTCTTGTGACTGAATGCAATCAAATCCTCACAGCAATGTTCCAAATCTAGAGGAACACCTTGCCAGAAGAAAAGAGGCTTTTACTACAGCAAAGGTGGGACAGATACCCCATTAATACCCTTGATTTCAGTGTGCACAGGAGTGGGAGAAAAGGCAAGAAGCAGAGTGAAGAACAAGGACAGCAATCATATTATTGTTTCACGTCAGTGATTTTATTGTAAAAGTTGTGGGAGAGTCATTAGAAAAAAAGTTTATAGGAAAGTTAGGCAACAGGATAAATACAAACACAAACACAGAAATACTGACAGGAGTTTCAACCACTCTACCTAATCATACTTTCTCAGATCATCAGTACAGACATACTGCACCATTCAGTTTCTCTCATGCGCTTCTCACAGAAAGTCATCATCTGCATTCCTAAAGCTGTCTTCTAACTAGCTACTTAATTTTGCAGCATCACTGAGAATGTTTTCTACTTATGGGACTTTCTTCAAAAAATAGAATACAAAAGTCCTCAATGTATCAACTCTAAGAACTTGCATGGCATGTACAGTAGATTAGGAAACCCTGCTTGGCAAAACAGCTGAACAGAGATGTCTAGCTATGGCCCATGATTGTATAATCATCTGCTTAGATGGCAAAGAAATGCACAATACATAAATCACACCACGCTAGGTCAGGAGTGACAGTAGTATTTCTCTATGAGCTCAGCAAACCAGCTCTTTGGAAGAAATTATTGCAGACAGATACTGTGTCTAGCTTAGTGGTGAGGAGGGCCACTAGGTTCAGAAAAGAGACCACCTTATCTGGTCAACAAACATATGGCTATGTTGTTTACATGGTTAAATGCTTTCTATTTACATCTTGAATTCCTTGAAATATGCCGAAGGAAAAAAATAAGAAATAAATAAACATACAGACATACAGACAAACACAGATGCAGTAAGGCACAAAGGGACAGACAAGGGAAGTCTTAGATTTGGTGACCAAAAACAAACTACAATCCTCGATTCCAAAAGTGTTGGGACAGTATGTGAAATGTAAATAAAAACAAAAAGCAGAGATTCATTAATTCACTTAGTCATATTTAAAACAGTACAAAGACAAGACATTTAGTATTTTACCTTATCAAGTTTTTTTTTCCCCAAATAAAAATATACGTAAATATTTGTAAATATTCACTCATTCAGAAATTAATGCAGACAACCTCTTCCAAAAAAGTTGGAACTGGGGGCAGTTGAGACTAGGAAAACTGAAATGTTCACAAAACATCTTAAACAAATCATGCTTGGGCATAAAAGAAGCATCCAGGAAAGGCCTAGTCCTTTATGAGCAAGGATGAGTAGAAGCTCACTACTTTGTAAAAAAGAAGTGTCAGTGAATAATCCAACAGTTTAAGAACAAGTAAAAATTACAAGAATTTTAGGTATTTCACCCTCTAGGGTGCATAATACTTTGAAAAGATTCAGGGAATCTGGAGAAATCTCTGTGAGTAAAGGTCAAGGCCAAAAACCAAAACTGAGTGCCTGTGCCCTTCGATATTTCAGACAGCACTGCATTAAAAACCAGCATGCCTCTGTGATGGATATCACCACACTGGCTCAAGAATACTTTAAAAAAAACATTTTTACTAAACACTATTCATCCCTGCATCCACAAATGCATCCACCAACTTCTGAAATGGACTGATGCACTGTGGAAACGTGTACTGTGAAACAACCTTTCACATTGTGGAAATAACAGATGTGTTCTCTGGGCCCATTAATAAAAGGGCCATCTATACTGCTACCAGTGTAAAGTTCAAAAGCCAGGGTCTGTTATTGTATGTGGGTGTAGGAGTGGCTACAGCAGGGGTGCACAACTCCAGCCATGGGGGTTTGGTGTCCAGCATAGTTTGGTGATTTATCTGCTCAAAACACACTTGATTCAAATCCTGTTAATTGCCAGGTTAGCGAATGTGTTTGAGTAGAAATACCAAACTGTGCTGGACACCGGCCCAGAGTTGTGCACCTTGCCGAAAGATAAATACACATTTTGGAACATCATGCTGCCTTCTAGACAACATCTTTTTCAGGGACCTCCATGCATATTTCAACATGACAACGCTAAGCCACATTCTACATGTTACAACAGCAAGCTGTGTAATCATAGAGTGCAGGTGGTACACTGACCTGCCAATTAGGTAATGTAACACAGTACTAAATACGCTCCTGTCTCAACTTTTTTGAAATAAATTGCATTCAATTTGGAATGAGCATACATTTACCAAAAAAACAAACAAAAAAAAACCCAACAGATTTTTACTAATCCCTGCTTTCTGTTTTTATTAGCATTGAGGTTTGTAAAATATAATAATAATAATTAATAATAATTATTAATAATAATAATAATAATAATAATAATAATAGAAGAAGAAGGGCTTTGCCTTGTCCTTCTCACAAAGAGCTCAATTTGTCCTTGCAACAGACCTATATAAAAACCCCTCTTTCAAACAATGGGGCAACGTAGAAATATGTAAGCACAGCTGGTGACACACATTTAGCTAGCAGGCAGCATCCAAAAGCAGGCTTGTTCCTCATTCTTAAGGCTGAGAGGTAGCATTCTCTCTCTCTGTTGTGCTTCGTCACTGAGTTCTGCAACCTGCTGTTCAGAATACTGTGTCGTACATTTCGTGCAATTTCTTAAGTGTATTCAGATATTAATACGCATAAGCTGACAAGGTCAGGTGTGCTTTACAAACTGGTCACAAATAATAATCACTTGCACACTGTTGTTCAGATTAAGTGCAATTTAAATGCGGGGCACCAGGTGGCAGTAGAGGACGCAGAGCAGGGACATAACTGACAGGTAGAAGAGGGCAAAACCAGCCAGCTGGGAAGGAGGCGAGGGCCGCAGAGGAGGTGCCAGAGAAAGCAAAGCTTCGAGAAGCCTGTATAAGTGCAGCACCTCCCCCTCCAAAACATCAGCAACTGAGCACAGGCATCCCTTCCCCAAGTCCAAAACAAGCAGCAGAGCACAAACGCAACACGCACACAGACAGGAAGGAGTGGGCGGTAAAAAGGTGAATTTGTGGGCAGATAAAAGAGCAAAATAAGGAATGAGTTAAAAATGCAGCATGGTTTGAGACAGAGGGGATAAAAGAGGGAGAGAAAGAGAAAGTTACTGGTATTAGTGGTATAAGAGCTGGAAAATGTAAATAAGAAGCATTAGGCTAAAGAACGAGAGGTTAACAAAGCTTGAGCAAGTTCCTATTAGGGCTGTCACAATTAATAGATTCAAACTTGATTATTTGACTAAAAAAAACAAAGACATTGAGCAGTTATGTTATTTTTCATTGTTTGACTTTGTTTAAAAAAATCTTTATCAAAATTACCAAGTCACCAAATCACCAAAATTATCAGTAGATTATGCCATCACTAATGTAAGCAACAGTGACACTTTGAGTCCCTGTAGGTTTGAGATGGCCATAGACCTATGCAATAAACTCAGTCAATATCAAATTAATAATTTTATTGGGAATAGATTTTCAGCTTACCTGAGGGACCCCAATTCTGCGACACGCCTCCAAAAAGTTTTCCACATTCCGCCGACACTTCGCCATTGTCAGTTTGGGCTTAAAGGTAAAAGGCAGCTATGAAATATCCACCCACACATAAGTAAACTACTTAAAAAAAATACACACACACACACACACACACACACACACACACACACACACACACACACACACTTTCACTCACCACTGCAGGTGAGGGCACATGGATGCTGGGTACTGATCGAGGCCGGACATGATTGGCCAGGTGACACAGCACAACACCGTCCGTCAGGGCTGCCCCCAGGTCACTGGGCAAGGATACTTTCAGCCGAGATTCGATATTCTATATAAGAGTCATGACAGACACTAGTTAAATCATATATACACACACAGATACACAGACTCACACAGACACAGATGTGCCAAAAGTCATTGGACAGGAACTAGTATCATGTAGGACCCCCTCTAGCCCCATGAAAGGCAGCAACTTGACGTGGGATCAATTCTACAAGTGGACAGAAGACGTCTGGAGGGATGTTAAGCCATGCCATTTGAATAGCCACCCAAAGCTCCGTAGTGTTTGTAGGTGCAGGATCTCGGATGTGAATGGACCTCTCCACCACATCCCATAAATGCTCGATGGTCCATGGCTTCATGGGGTCTGCGGCACACGCAAACCCTACCAGCAGCCACATGTTGTCTAGGGTCCAGGTAGCAACCTCAAGAGCCCAAGTGAGACACTGTGTTGTGTGTTAACAGAGGCACTCTGGTGGGTCTTCTGCTCCCATATCCCATGGAAGCTAAAGAACGTTACACTGGCCTGCAGGATACGTGTGTGGCATCTCCTGCATTGAAAGTGGATGTCATTTCTGCCAGAGTCAATTTTCTGTTCGCATGATCATTTAGTACTTGTGGGTGGCCTTTTGTGCTGACCACTGTGGGTGGTAATGCCGTCTATGACATATTCCCGGTATACACATGACACTGTGGACCCAAGAATGTTAAATGCCTGTACAACTTTGGAAATGGAATGTCCCAGCCGCCTGGCACCCACTGTCATGCCTCGCTTGAACGGTGATAATTTATGTCGCCTTGCCATGAACACGCTGACCGGTGTTTAAGCTCACTCACAAGATAATACCTTACAACTTATACAGGTGTTCCCAAGCCGTTTCCTGAGGTAACTCTGCAATCCCATGACTTTTGGCATGTCACTCTCACACACACAGACACACACAGACACACTTTCAAAAACTGAAAAACAACAAACATGGAGATACAAGGTTTTCTTTCGACAGCAGCAACATACATACTATATATATATATATATATATATATATATATATTATATATAATATATATATATGTATGTATGTATGTATGTATACACACACATACATATATAGAGAGAGTGAAAGAGAGCAAGAGAAAAAGTGAATACTATATGATGAAGAACCTTTCTCAGCTGTTCGACTAGTTCAGCCTCCTCTCCTGTGGGACCTGAAGCTGGAGATGGTGTGGCAGTCACATCTTCAGGTTCTGGCCTCCCAGCCCTTGATTCTCCTACATATGCAAACACATATACAAATTACACATAAATTATATTAGTCGCCCCCCCACCAATTTGACCAATCAGTGACAGTGTTGAACATCAGTCAGTCAGTGTTCATCAGCTTCTGTCAGTCCTCTAACTGTATTTATTACTTTTTTATAGTACTGTGCAAAAGTGAGACCCTCCTGTCTTTCACTGAACTTCGTCTAAACAGACCAAAAATACAAAATAAAAAACACCCAACATATGTAACAGAAAACTGCATAAAAGCCTCAAAGAAAAGGTGGTAACACTTTCTATGAATGTCACGTTTGTAAGCATCTATAAACACATGTTATAATGCATTCATATGGCCTTATAAACATGATTATAAACATTTACAAAAATGAATTACACTTTATAGCCATGTTTATTATACATTATGAATTGTTAATATAATGCATTATAGGTAGTGTCAATAACATGTTATACTGTCAGTGCCAATTAAGTCAGTACCAGCTTGGAGAGCGTAAAGACAAATACCAAGCTAATGGTGGTGTACACTGACTTTCCCATGTTAGGTAAAACACTGATGGCAGCACTAGTGTAAAACCTGACATTTAAAGCCTGTAATGTGCTTTATTGGGTATGTTTTAGTGTTTCAGTAAATCCTTTCAGTAAATACTTTAACTTGAAGCCTCACTCTTAACACTGGAGGAGGCTTTAATACAGTACGCTTCACTTTACTTAAAGCGGACAAATACAACTTACGAGCTCTTATAATTTGTTATGATCAGTACTTATAATGTATTATGTTAACAAATCATAATGCATAATAAGCATGGCTATAACGTGTAATGCATTTTTTTATAATATTTATAGCCATGTTTATAATGCCTTATGAATGCATTAACATGTTATGTTTATAGATGCTTACAAAGGTGACATTCATAGAAAGTGTTACCAAAAAAGTATCAGTATTTAATGTGATTTTGTGCAACTACTGCCACTTGAATTCCATCCTTCCAATCCTAACACCAACCAGTCACATCTGTACCCTCCCAAAAAAAGGTGTTTTCAAAAGAGTCACTGACATTATGTTCCCCTTCAAAGAGACACTAACATTCATACAAGTAACTACCCAAACTCACCTTAGCTGTCTTGCAAATATCTCATGTGCATCTAAATGGCTAAAATATACATTTCTGAGATAAGTAATAACAATCAACTTGCATAAGGAGGGGAAAGCTACACAGTCTCCAAAACTGGAGTTCAAAAATTACTGAACGATTTAGAGAAAAACTCCTAACAACCGTTCAAGACCCGGTAGACCACCAAAACTGGCACCATTCATAACATGTTATAATGCATGTATTTAAAGCCTTCTTTTCTGAAAGATAGGAAAAAATCAAGTTGCACTCTTGCTTCTGATCTGAAAAAATTCTAAAGTGTTTCTGTTCACTGTGAGAAGATAACTCAATGCCATGAGTCTGAAAGGACGTGTAGCTGTCAAAAAGCCTTTACTGAGAAAAGGAAACAGACACAAAGACAAAAGTTTGCAGTGGAACACCAAACCTTGACATCTGAAATATGGAGTAAGGTTTTATGGACTTGTGAGTCTGAATCTGTCATTGGTATTACTTAGATTACAGCAGAAAATGCAACCAACTTCTAAGAATGAACTGATGGTGTGAAATCTTCCTGAAGATTTGTCTAAAAACTAAAAGAAAGTCTTCAGAAAGGAATAGAAGCTGTAGGACAAAATGTGGACACATTTTCTGTTAAAACATACGCTTTTAGCTTTATTCCTCAAACTGAAAAACTGAAGCTGAAATCTGAAACTAGTCCTATTTTCACTTATTATTATATATTTCACAATTATAGTTAGGTTATGAAATTACTTTGCACCTTACTAAGAAAATAGTTGCTAAATTACACATTCAAAATATCTGACTAATAAGAACTATGAAACACATTTGTCATTCATGGAACTGTCAGCATAAAAAAAAATACCTGGTAAACTTCAGTGAAAAGAGCATGCAAAATGCCACACAACGGGGTGTTTATTTGCCTATATATTGCCGTGCATTACTTCCCAGCGCAAAACGCTGAAGCACAGTTGAGGTCCCACATGCTTGTTAAAAGTGGTGCTGAACTGTGACAAGCAAACACTTTCTCTGAACTCTGTATGCCAGCATACAGGCATAATGTGTACCTCGTTTTTTCTCCTCTCTTTGGCTGAGACGGAAAAGGAAACTCTCGGGACGCTGAGTGGCTCCGCGGCAGGAGGGCGGGGCAGCAGGGCCGGGGTAAGTAGGTGATTGGAGGGCTGTGTGTGATATGCAGTACAGGATGAGAAATGATCTTGGTGTATGGAGATGTGGAACAGCTTTGAGAACTGTGATGGGAGTCACGGGTAGGGGAGGATGTGCATGCAAAAAAAAAATAAAAAAAAAATAAAAAAATAAAATAAAATTACACACAAGGCCTTACCTGTGGGGGAGAGAGAGGCACGATCTTCCCCTTGCTGCGGTTTCACAGTAGCAGGCCAAACAGGATGAGAAAGGAAGTTTAGATAAAACAGAAATACAAATTTAAATTTAGCTGACCACATTACATACGTTTGCTTCGTGGTAAGTAAGCAGTCTAAAAAAAGTGATGTGCTAGGTTGAATAACTTCCACCAGCACAATTCAAGAGCTCACAACAGAAAAACTTGGTTCAATTAGGAAGACACTTTTGGATATGTTTGAGCAGAGGACTAAACGAGGACGCTTCTTAATCTTAGAGCTCAGAGATGCTTTCAGCAAACAGGGACATGCAGAGTGGTGTACCTGCAATAAACAGGAGGGGGCAGTGTCTATGGGTGGAGAGACACACCCATCCGCTGGTTTACCCGTGACAGACTGTCAGAGCGCAGAAAGAAAGACAAGAATACAACAGACGAGTGATGAAGACAGGCAAGTCAGAAGAGAAGGAAAAAAAATGCATTCAAGCTGCAAAATAACAGAAAAAGGTACAAGAAAAAGGGGGGAGGCATAAACAAGTAAGAAAAGGTACAAACACGAAAAAAAAAAATAAGGAAGGTGAAGCTAAATGTCTGCAAGACAGCTACTATGTTATTGGTGTAAAAAAAAAAAAAAAGAGAGACTAGTCTTGGGACAGTAACAATTTCCAGGACTAGTAAAAATTTATTCACCAGAAAGATACAGTACTTACTATTTAAAATACTGCTGGCACTATGATATCCTGAATAAAAAACAATACAGCTTTCTCCACCTGCCTGCTAAATTAATTCCTTACACACTAATACTCTACTTTAGTCTCCTACTAGCAGTGAGCAAAAACATACTACGAAACTAAGACATTTTTACGATACATGATGTCACTCTTTTTATTCTTACATAAGTTGGAACAGAAAAGCAATGCCACATTTTTAAATACTATTAAAAACATCCATACTATGATTTGTGCAGTCCAAAAACATTTCTACATTACTGCGCTACACTAAATCCAATTAACCAGGCCTAATTCTACTCTTTGTAATCAAATATGCAGTTGGTAAGTGTTTACACATTTTAAAAGTAGAAAAGCATATTATACATTAAATCACAACGTCACAATAAGAATAAATACTGTTAAACTGCCCAGCCCTGCCCCAGTGAGGATTCTGTTCTACAGGACTACTGTCCAAAAGTGATCTTCCAGTTTAGATATTATCACAAAAGCACAGCAGAGCAATAGTACAGCTGTTCACACTGCCAGGGAGACGGGAGCATAGGCAACAAACGTGTGCATAACTAGTGCTACATGAAGCTAAAAATGGGTCACCCAGTTGCATCTCACAACCTCTCTTCTCTCTGTTCAAGGGTTAGTGTGGTTTTGAGAATTTCCTACTGGCCCAAGCGTAACACAGACAACTAGCATGCAACAAAGAGTTAGAAAAAAGTGTACACACATGCATGACCACACTGTTCTGGCTAGTCTAGCAGTGTTTGTATAGTGGGTAGTGTTTATTCAGGTGCATGTTTACAAAATGAAGTGATTCAGAAAAAGAAATAAAATAAAAATTTAGCATGAATGTCTGTGCACAAAAGTGTATCTGATGTCCATTAAAATCTTTCACCTGTTTGGAAGGACCTGGCCTCTTCTTTATAGTGTTGGTGTCTATGTCTATTTCAAAGACCATTAAGGGCTCGAAATCACTCTGACATAGACCAGCAAAGCCAGACCGAACAAGAGAGAGGCAGTGACAGAGAGAGAGAGAGAGAGAGAGAGAGAGAGAGAGAGAGAGAGAGAGAGAGAGAGAAGAGAGAAAGAGAGAAAGAGACAGAGAGACAGAGAGACAGAGAGACAGATTTGGGGAGAGGGGACAGGGAAAGGGAAAAAAGGGCACAGCAGAAGAAAAGCTTTGAGGCGGGAACACAATGAAGCATTTGCAGAAGGTAGCAGATCTATTCTAGAAGAAGGTTAGCATGTTAGCACAAAGAGATCATCATGGGGAGACAGAAAGGACTGGCAGTATAATACAGATAGGGTACCATCAAAATGGAGCATAACTATGAACCATTCACTGATTTTTTAGCGACATACAGTGAGCCCCAAAGTATCTGGACACTTTAACCACTGATAAATGTTCAAGAGGTTCCTTAGATTACTTCATAAAATGCTTAACAAAATTATATTTGTTTCAGGAAAAAAAAATTGAGCACATCACACTGATGGTAGATTCTTGGTGTGGAGACATGCAGAACTGCACTATGGTCTACTATTAGGAAAGAGGTGGAACAGTCTGCGTCACTTGCGTCAGAGAGCTTGGGTTCACTGACTGAATCATGAAATTTTAGATGCAAGCTGTAATGGGTTGTTTTTGCAGATTAGTGTCCATATTTGGACCATTTGGCATGGGTAATGAACGGTACATTTAGAAACAATGTTTACATATATCACTTCCCTTATTTCAAGAAAGCAGTGGAAAGTTGGTTTTCCACTTTATGGGCCTTTAAATACATTTATGGCACAAATGTCCAAATATTTTTGGGGTCACAACAGCTTGTCACTGTTAGATTAGCAAAAGTCTTTGTTATGAATGGAGAAAGGTACCAAATTTGAAATATTTACAGCTAATTAAAACAGGTATCGACTACTGCAGAAAAAGCAGAAACAATTCAGTATTAAAGTTCAATCCATATATCAATATACTGACACATACACTGGTATTTTATTTTCAATAGCTTTTCGTTTTTTAACATATAATTCAGCAAGAACACACTTCAGCAAATATGTCGATCAGGATTTGCCTTAAAAACGCTGTTTCTATATCTGACTACAGGCAAACACCAGGTGATGACACTGTACACTGTGTAATGCTATGACAGCACAAGACAGTAACAAGGTAGTTTTCCAGGTTTCCAAGAGAATTACAATTCAAAGTACTCCACTACCAGTACGCACTAACGCATATAACACAAAATGAGCCATGTCTGGACATGTAAGGGTGTGTGAATGTGTGTGCGCGCATGCAAAAAGCAGCATAAACCAATCTTAGAACTGTTGCTTAACATTCTGCGTTCTTGGCACTGACTCCTTTCCTGACTCATTTCCTTAATACTCATCCCTCATTAAGACTGGATCACTTGTTTCTAAGGTTTACAAAATGAAAGGAACAAGACAACAGGACTGTAGAAAACATCCAGAAGTTGATCAATGCGGAAATAAACAAGTGAATACCATTTGTTGATGACAGACTGACAAGGAAGTGGGTAGTTTCTATTCATGCTGATAGGCTCTTACCATAAAGAGGGCGGAGTCATCTGTGTGAGTAGAGCGTCTGGAGGGGTACAGGGTCTGAGGGGGAGTGCCAGGACAGGGGTAAACCAACAGACAAAGACAGACACAGGGAGGTATGGAGGAATGTTTGGGTAGCTGGGGAGGGTACTGCATGAACATGAGGTTGAAAAAGACTCACCTCACTGTCTGTAGGACTGAGTTTAGTGGGACTCTGAGTTGACTTATGCTGAAAGGTCAAAAAGAAAACAGGTTGTGCAAGAGCATGACAAAACACCTGTATATCTAGCTGGTATGCACCATTGTGGTTTATTCTAGAAGAATGCAGTGAGGTGAAAACAAGGGCAAAACTTCTGCTTTTGTTATTTAATATAATTCCAGTGCATATATTCATTTCAAATTAACACAGTGTCTTTTGTACCTATACATTTGAAAAAAGTATGCATTCATAAGTATAAACAAAAGACATGTTCAAAAAACAAAATTGATAGGGAAAAAAATATTCAGATACTATTTAAAATATAAGGGCGATAAAAATAAATCAAGTTTCAGATATTAATTCTGCTGCTACAGAATAAAAAAAAATATTGTGCAAATTGCACCTGGAGACATAAAACATACAGCAATTAGCAAAATTTCATGCAGAAAAAGGCACTTGATGAAAGTGGAGCAGGGCTGGGCGATATGGCCAAAAATGTTATCAAAATAAAAATTTTTATATCAGTTGATACTGATAATTATCACGATTTAGTGTAAAGGCTGATTTTTGCTGAGTGAAACCGAACAGTTAACTGTGGTTTTGAACTATTCTTTACAATCAGAGCATGACAAACACTTGCCAAACTGAGAAATATTTCACAAATCTTTCATGGGATAGTGAGAGAAAGTTTCCCAGGTTAGCTGTTTTTACTAGCAGGTTAAAGCAGCACTCTCACACGCACAGCACGGCTGCGCTTTTTGTAATATTCATGATTTAAAAAGAAAATAGATCATTTTTAGCTCCCTGGTAACAAATGCCAGGCTATCTGGTTACATGTGCTAAAATCATCAGCTTGCTACAGACAGCAAACATTAGCTGGCTCGGTACGTCAATGCTGGATCACACCAGCTTAATCCTACTGCTCCTACACACATCCATGTCAGAGCATATCACAGTATTCAGACACAAGCTAGCAGACATTTGGATTTCTCTATTCTGTCGTGGTAGTTTGAGGGGTGGAAGAACCACAATATATATGACACTCGCTGTGTGGAACCCCATGTTTCAAACGTTTACATTTAAATATATTTGGTGACCCATTTTAGTCCCCACTCCCTCCCCTGTTAAATCATGTCAGAAAACTCTGAAGTGTGCCCTCTCATGCTGACAGTAATATCACTTTTCTTGCATTAGAAAATGCCACCAGGGATGTCACAAAAATGCAGAAGTGTGAAAACGGTCTGAAAAATAATTATTGTTGTTTCATCGCCCAACCCTAAGGTGGAGGAACTTCATAAAGTTCTCAGGGATAATATTATTAAACAACACTTGAATGGAAAATGGTACAGAGCAATAGCAAAGACCTTTAACATCAAATTATTTGAAATAATGTACTCCAGTCAGATGAAACAAAAACACAACTCTCTGGCAATAATTCAGCTCTTCATCTCTGGAGAAAGAGGGGTTGCATGTATGATCCCAAGAACACCATACCGATAGTGAAGGAGGGACGGAGAATCATTCTGTAATGAGGCGGCTTGTTTGCAAACTTCTGGCATTTCATGTCATCAAAGTAAACATGAATAGAACAAAGTACTGAGAAATATTAGAAGAGAATTTTGAACTCATCGACCAAGGAAGTGTCTGAATACCTGATTCCTTTCACTGTGATTGTTTAACGTAAACATTTATTACCAGGGGTGTAAAAATGCATCATGACATGGTAATATCGCTATGCAATGTAAACAGAGTAGATGCAGCAATGATTGTGGAGAACAGACATTCTATTAATTATGCCATCTAATGCAACCGCAATGTTTGAACACCAACTCATCAACAACCAGCATCAATCAATAACTCACTCCTTTTGCTTTCCAGCCCCAGTGTCATTAGTAAGTAGTGCAACAACATGATTACAGTCATTATATTTCTTCATTTAGATTTGGTTTAAAGTACCGTGAGAATACCAAATTGTGAATCTAGTATTGTGAATCAAATTGAACTGTTGGCTGAGGTTACATCCCCTAGTATCTATCTGTGCTTAATTCTGGTGGAATTAATTCATGAATATTACACACACTCGGTATCTAACAGCATGGTTTAAATTCTTCTTTTTTGTTCGATGCACTCTGTATCTACCTATGTGGTGCTTCCAAGAGAGGGAATAACTAATTAATATTATATCCACTCTGTATCCAAGAGCATGGTTTATTCCAGTGAAATGATTTATTAACATTACATCTGTTCAGTATATACCAGTGTGGTTTACTGGAATAATTCATCAACGTGCAATATGTGCCTCTACATGCAAGTATGCATGCATGTTTGCATACCTTAACATAACCTCTTACGGCGTCTCTCTGTGCGGTTCTTGCTTTCTGCCTCTCCTCTTCGTACCGCTGTGCTGCAAGCTGAGCTTCCCTCCGCATGCGCTCCAACCCCACTCCAGAGCCTGATACTGCCCGCTAACACACACAAACACAAAGACAAACATGGTTCAGAGTTTTAAAACATGTACAAATTACCATACATTTACTTTAGACTGCCAATGAGAAAATTACCTGGCTGTGAGAAGGGGATGACAATGTACTGACTGTATCTGTTACACTTCTGTAAAGAACACAGTCCTTATTAATAAACTCATCACAAGTAAGATGCTGTATTTCTTGTAACTGAAGTTGTTTAATATCATTCTTACACAGCTGCAATGATTCTTTACCTAATTCTTAACCTTTAAGCTGACTTGCATAAAGTGTCTAGCTAATTTGTTTAACATACTTAAGAACTAAATACTATACAACATTGAAATACTACACAAAAGGGTTAAAATAATTCTTTCACAGTGTACACTTCTACATGTGTAAGCTGCACTTTTGAGTCTGCATTTACACATGTATCTACCGGTTGTGTGAAGAGCCATAGCGTCTTGAATCATCGATTCTTGCATCTCTAGGGTAACTGGCCTTGACTGGAGACCCCTAGAATACCAGAATTAAAATTACTGCACAACTTAGGCAGAAAAAAAAGAACAGAAAAAACAGAACAGCACACAAAGATGTAGAACACACACCTCTCTGGAGATTCGTCTTTCAATATATGCCATAAACTGTGAGCTGAGACTGACTGGTTCTCCTCCTCTGCTTCGCACCTCCTCTTCATCCTCCTCCCCTGTACAGCTGTCAATAAAGTCTATCTGCTCAAGCTCTGACTCCACTAAGACAAAAAAGAGAGATGATAAAGTTATCAATGAGAAATAATGACAGAAAAGAGAGGTGTTTTTTTCCCCCTGTGCCTTTTCTTCTTACATGTTCCGTTGGCCAGGAGTGACCCCGTCCTGTGCTCATCTCGTTCCCTCTCTCGTTCTCTCCTTTGTCTTTGCTCTTTGGTTAGTTCTGCCACCCTCAGTGGAAGGTCTGACAACTCATCAGAGGGCTGTAGGAAGCGATATGAAAAGAAGGGAAATATTAACTGAGCAATTAGCACTTACTGAGGGTAAAGATGACCTGGCCAGGCTGACTACAGCTGCTTAGTAGGTGTTTCTCCTAGAAAAGGGGTGAGCTACTGTTTGAGTAGAAAATTTCAAAGGGTATACACTAAGGGTATACGCTAAGGTAAATCAAGTCTAAAACCAAAGAAAAAACAATTAAAGTTAAATATTTTTCATGTACGCATTTGTTTAATGTCAACTCAGATGCTACAGAATCTGGCATTTGACATCAGCTTCCCCGTCCCCATTACAAAACCTGTGGAGTGAGCTAAAGAGGAGCATCCAAAAGAACAGACCTACACCCTGAAGGATCTAAAGAGATTCTGTACTGGGCTCTGTATTCTCCAATCTCATCAATCATCATAAGATAGGACTCATTGCTTTTATGTGTACTAAATTGGGTGCCAATAATTGTGACACAAGTGGCTCTTTTTTAACCCATCTTTATAAAGCATGCCAAAACTTGTTGATGGTGAAATTAACCTAATAAAATCTAACATCAATAGCTGTTAATAATTATTTATTTTATAGTAAATACAAATAAGGATCTTGACTGCCCACAGCTCTCACACAACAAGTACATGCATGATTATTCGCTAGGAGAGTTTAAAATACAAATATAACAATAAAATCCTCGCAGAGAGCAGGCAGGAAAGCTACATACTTGCTCTCACCAAAAAACGATGTCCTCTCCATTTCTCATCACCATCAATGGGCACATATCCTAACTGTTCTGGTAATGCAATGTTTGCATTCAAATGCAGGGGAAATCTGGGACTCACTTCATTGCCTGACCATCGTTTGTCTCCGCTGTCCACACTGTTAAACCCAGAGTCCAGAGCTCCGTATGGTCGGCCTGGATACAGCTCATCCACACTACGACACACATTCAGGTTGAAAGTACTCAGGTTAGACAGTGAGTAGTAGTTATGCACTGAAATCCAATAATTTTGATGTATATATATTTGTTAGTGTCCACACAGATGCAAGCATACACATTTATAAAACAATCAGGAGTAGATCCATATGGATTAGTATAACAGATTAATGTATCATTTGTTTGTAGACCTTTACAAATGCAGTAAATAAATAAAATGCGTATAATTAATAATTTTACAACTACTTGTAATACCTAAATGAGTTTTGATATCATTGTGCATCCCTCCTGAGTACAGTGTCTTGTGCAAGGAATTTCTGAAATGTGTCTGAAATGGGCAAGTGCATATGTTACCCAATCCCCTAAAAGAAGTTCTATCAGCAAGCAAGATATTCACAAGAAACTATCCCCAACCACTCTTTGACACAGACACTTACATACACATTAACATTTAGTTTGAACATTACTATCATTTAGGAAGAGAAGATGCTTTATCAATGCCACTCAGCTGACAAGCTTACTCACGAAGAGGTTTACTTCAATGCTACTTGCATTATTTCAGATGTACTGGAACATATCAACACCTACATTGCACTTATCTGCTTGTATCAAACCTACGCATGCCAGAACATGACTTCTTGCATCAGAGTCTGCTAGCAGAGCAGGTTTATGGAAAGAACTGAAAAAACTGCCGCCAGCTGCTTTTCAAAGCATCAGAAAACTGAGAACTTAAGGAGCCTCATTTCTCTGGATTTATATTTACAATAAAAAGACATATCTGAATTGCTTGCAAGTAGAACGATGAGCTTGTTTATACAGCATGTTAATGGTGTATGATTTTCTTACCAAGAACCAAAGCCAAGGGGCCTCCTGTCATAGTCAGGAAGGTCTGGAGCTATTTTACATGCTTCCATGTTCAGGTACTTGAATATGTGGATCTTCCCCTTGATACAGATCTAGAAGTGCACACACAGACAAAACATGCCTTTCATTATGGAACACTACTTTGAAAAAGAAAAAAAGTATGAAGACTGGAGAATATTATGCCTTTAAAGATTTTTAGACAGGCACAAAATATAAAGAAATGTGTATAAAGTCTAAACAAATGTGTGTAATAACTTGCTATCGATGTGACAATCATATATAGTTGTATGCAAAAGTCTGAAAACACCCTGGTCAAGTTGCATGTTTTATTGATTTTCTGTGTGAAAATAAAGTTAACACATCCTCTACAAGGAACAACTAAGAAACTGCATTTTCCTACACGTTTTTATTTAGTGCTGAGTTTAACATGATGGAAAAAAACATATCAAATGTGCAGTAACTTTTGCACATTATGTTTTATTTTTCTCTCTCAATATCTTTAATTGAGCCAAAAAAAATAGGAAAAAACAGTTATTGTGTATTAAAATGTACAGAAGTGTGTTCTTTGCAAAGGATGTGTACTTGCTTTCATTTCTAAAATCAAAGAATTGTATACCGGGGTGTCCAAATGTCTGCAAACAACTGTAAACTTGCTTTTTCATAACATTGCTGTGTGGTGTGCTTGTTAGTGACCTGTGCAGGAGGACTCTGAAGGGGATTGTTGTCCAGCACAATGCTTTGGAGGTGGCGGAGGTTGCGGTAACATACTGGAATCAAAGTCACTTTATTACAGGAAAAATCCAAACGTACTAGTGGCAGCTCGGCCAACTCTGCAACATCAGCAACAAAACAGGCAGAACATACATTTAAAAAAACATTACATATTCAAATGATCACTTCATAGAGGGCGTCACTGTTGCATATGTGTGTGCAAAGGTGTAAGTATGAAGACTCTGACCGATAACTTAAAAAAGGTTCATGTGGTTTGAGAATTGGAAGTAAAGTGATCAAGGTGATTTATGTGGATGATACCGAGCACAGCTGCACCACGTATATACTTGAGATCTCACCAGGAGGCATGTGTGGGGTGTGTGGGTTAGGCAAATGCTGAGATGATCATGTGTGTACTTGTTGTGTGAAAGAGCTGTGGGCTATCAAGATGCTTTATGTGTATGAACATGGATAAGAAACTTGTGGACCCTAACCAGGAGGCAGGCGAACAAGGTGGTTTCGGCGAATGTTCAGGTCTCGCAGAGCTTCAAGCTGGCCGACCTGAGAAGGCAGAGTCTGGATCTCATTACAGCTCACATCCTAGAGAGGAAAGATGCGGTATGTGAGAAAGAGTGAAGAAAACAGAAGAAAAAACAGACAACCATAACAAAGAAAATGTAAGATTTACAGCCAACATAAAATGCACATTTTTAATAAGCCAATAAACTGTCAGTTTCATAGTTCCAAATATTATGGCCTTTGCATGCGCAAAGCAAATAAATGTCACAAAAATACAAAATATTCAAACACTCAGATCAAAACTACACAGAAGGTTGACAATTTTTTTGGGATATTTTGTGATGTTCCCACTGTGAAAGGAAAACAGAAACAGGCAGAATGTTTTTAAGAGTTAAAAGATACTCTTTTCTCCTTAAAAAATTGGGCAAACTGGGTACTTCCTATTTTGGAAAAGTGAAAGGATCACTAAGAGCTTCACTGCTTTATTCAGGATCTGAAACTTCATAAGTACTACATTTAACTCTGACATCTGCAGCCCATGTTTGAGCTGCTTTTGGAGATGTCAACACCATCTGTGACAAAGCAGTATCCTTTTGGTGTTTATCAAAAAGTTCCACTCTCTGGAATACATATGATCTGTCAGCTTGGTTGTTGGCATGTCAACAAAAGAGATGACAATGACTGGTCAGTGAGTTCATGATGCCTGCGAAAGTTTGCAAAATTGAAAACAGAGAGCAAAAAAATGAATGTTGCACTTCGAACTTTTGATTATGTGCAAGATATTGTCAGTTGAACAACAAAATTTCTAAATAAATCACAAAAATAAATTACGCTTGGTGTTTAAAGGCCTTAACTTCCAAGCATCAACAATGTCACTTGCTAGCCCAGTGCTTTTGAAAATGCAAAAACCTCAATACCTGCTCATTTCTTTTCTGTACAGTAAATAAATGACACAACTTAGCCTTGCTATTGAAATAGTAAGCAGGTCACTCTCAGTCCTTCAGAGCTGAATTGTTCTGGTGTTTGTCATTTTTTGTCGACCACTGAAAGGTGTGTCATCAATTTCAGACTTCGGGGTAAAATTTGTATTTGGACACTGTGTGTGCTTGGGGCGGACTCCAAAGTGCTGAAGTGAACTTGTCGGAAGTTCCAATAACCTGCAGCCTTAAAAACCCAAGCAGTTTTAATGACCCAAAGCCTTCAAAATCCAAATAGAAATTAACCTTGAGAGAATAAAAACGGTAAAAAATTAAATAAATAAATAAATAAATAAATAAATAAATAAATAAATAAATAAAAAATTATGTGCAAGACCATTTTGTCTCATGCTAGTACTCACCAGCTCAGTAAGCTGTCGGAGCTGGCCGAGCTCTTCGGGCAAGGATACTAATTTATTGTTGCAAGCAATCAGCACTTTCAGGGGCAGACTACACACATGAGCAGGCAGGGTGGACAGCTGGTTCCGACTGTGGAAAGCATGATAAAGGAAGGGGGAAGTAACACAATTTAGTGGAATGTTGAACTGCAACCTCTTTCACATGAAGAACATGCAACACTGCAGTGTTAACTCTGGTGGCTTCTGCTTTTCACATATCAATGTCAGTTATTTTGCATTATTAACCGTGTTTGCAGGCTACCCAAATTGCTCTTGATAACCTATATCCTAAGCACACAAGCACTGGGTATATTCGTTTCTTTTGCTCTATTTTGCATGATTTACATATACACTGTAGAAATGCTGCAAATGTTACTAGGATAAGAATTTGTTTTGAGAATTTGAATCCTTATGCCCTATTCAAACAAGGAAGTACTGAGGAAGTACTGTCCTATTATTTTAGTGATTTCTGACAAGATACGCGACTAATCAAGCACTTTTTACAAGTCTTACTGTGAATTACCTTCTGCAATTTGCTCAATGCATACCTTCACTGGTAAATGTAGTCATGTTCGCATCAAATCTGAGGCATTCTTGATGCTATACAGCACTCAATTATGTTGGAATGATCTATAGCTCTGTTCATCATCAAAAGTTTCTTAAGGTTTACAGCTGGACTTTTTAAACACCTCAGTGTCATTGCTGGACTGAGGATAGGCCACCAACCAAAAATATCCAGCCAACAGTGTCCTGCGGGCAGTGTCCTGTGACCACTGATAAAGGACTACATAACTAATACAAACTGTGCAGCAGCAGATGAGCTTTCATCCCTGACTTTACATCTACAAGGTAGACCAACAAAATAAGAATAATAGAGTGGACAGTAAGTAAACATGTTTAAAAACATGTGATCCACTTGTACCAGCGCAACACACAATAAGAAGTCACCACCATATCAATGTCACTGCAGTGCTGAGAATGATTCACAACCCAAATAATACCTGCTCTGTGGTGGCCCTTCTGGAGTCCTGACCTTTGAAGAACAGGGTAAAGGGGGGGCTAACAAATTATGCAGAGAAACAGATGGACTGTAGTCTGTAATTGTAGAACTATTAAGTGCCCCAACATGGTAAATGAAGCTGATTTGTATTGTACTCGGTAAGAGCAGGAGCAACTTCCAAAAGTGTGTAAAGATCATCTTAATTGGTAGTTCAGTGTGATGCTCACACAACCATCTTTGGGTCAAGATGCTTTTGGGGAAACCCTGACTAGAATGTTTGGAACACTGGGCTGCTGGGCTTCCATATTTCTCTGACACTCGCATCGTAAATAACAATCTAAACGAACATTAACTCAGACTGTAGTTGACTGCACAGCCAGAGCTGAGAGAAAAGCCTTGTTCAGTCATTCAGTCTCCTGTTAGCCTGTTTAACAGTGCGTGTTTGTTGTTAACTGGCTTATTTGTGGTATACCAGTGCAACTATTACTTTAGGAAGAATTCCAACTGGTATATCACTCACTATTATTGCCTTAAAATTAAATACAGGCATTGGTTGGTTGGCTGGTATAATGTAGTGGGTAACACCTTTGACCTCCAAGCTGCAGACCGCAGTTCAGTCTCCTGTCTGGGCAATTGCTCCACGCTACACCAATAAGAGTCCTTGGGTAAGACTCCTAACACTACCTTCACCTACCTCTGTTAAGTGATCAAATTGTAGGTTTGCCAAACGTAACAGTCTGCCAAACGTAACAGATTACAGATTTTGTAGTCAACAACGTATGTATTACTGGTCAGTAAGACAATTTAATGTATTTTAAGTCAGTAAGTTATTTTTTTATGTGCGTTTTCATATGTGCATGTGTGCTCATTTTACCTGATGTTCAGGTACGTAAGGGCCTGTAGATTAATCAAACTTTCTGGCAGCGAGCGCAGGCAGTTCTGGTATAAATTCAGATTCTCCAGTGACACAAACATGCACACCTCCACTGGCAGCTCCGACAACCTGTTCCGGGACAGGTCTACAAAAGAGCAGAGAGAGCAAAGACAGAAAGTAGGATCAGATGATACAAGAAGGAAGTTATGCATAACACACATGATCCCCACCTGTCTCTTGTTCTGCTTATTAAAGTGTGCATTATGTGTTCTCAGCCCTCTGCCTTTGTTCCATGACTGCTTTACTGACTACAGTCTCCAGAGCTCAGGAAGACAGCACTGAATTCATAACCTCTTCAGGCTAAAGCAGCCATCTCGTCTCTTCTGCCAGAGGTCAGGTTAGTGGGCTGATACCACACATGTCCTGCAGATGTTCTCTCACTGGCAGTGGTGGAAAGTCCCTGAGTCAGTGCCAGAGAGCATCGATGTGTCAGGCCACAGGTGTAATTAAAGTGCACTGGCCTGAACACTGGACAGCAAGAGAACACACCAGGCCCATTTATTTTCAAAGATGTCTACACAAATGGTGCATAATTCAGCTCCAAAATTAGGGCTGAAAATGTTATTGTTTTATACTGAACTCACAATTGGAAAGGGCTGCAATTTGAATTATATGCCACATCTAATTATATGTTTATAAGTGGGAAATTTAACCTAACAACACAGAGCTTGTAAACTGGCAGTCTGGCACACTACATTCAGCACTTCCTCAAATTGCTCAGCCTTAACCAAAACAGCTCTTAAACCTGACAAACCTCACCGGTTTAATTCTAAAAACAACTCTAATTAAAAAACTCAAACATTCTAAACGAGTGAAGGCAGACATAAACTGGCTCTGTGTAACAACAGGCCTTTTAACAGCACCATATCTAACGATCGGATGCATCAAAAAAGGGGTTGGGGCCTTCATAATTGGAGCCTTAGACACGTGCCCAACACTTTTTTTTTTATAAATGACCACAGTGTAATCTTTGTGCATGCATACACAAACTGAAACTAGCAACAGACCCTGAGAAAATAAAACACACATTCGACATAGGCTGTGTAGCCATAGAGAGAGGAAAAAAAAATACATGTATAACACATTTACTTATAATACATAGAGCATTCTGAATGTCATTTGTAACAGCATTAATGCATTGGTGGTTATACATTTTGGGGAATTTTATTTAAAAAAAAAAACCTTCTGTGATGACATTTTGAATAAATGGGCCAGTATGTAGCAGAATATAAAAGGATAGCACTGTGACCATTACCGTAAGCTGTGAATGTGCTTAGATTAATAACTGAGCTCTACAAGCATGAAACAAAGCATGGGGAAAGAGTAGCAGTAGTGACAGTGGTGGAACCAGTGCTACTCTGCATGTCTGTGCAAAAAAATAAAAACATCTGTTTAATCAAATTGAAGTGACAATATTTTTTCAGTGTCCATGACGACAATATCATGTGTACTGACTATAACGGTACACCTTATTACTGAATATCAGCATGTCTATTTATACAGTAAACTCTGAATAGTAAATATAGACATCTATTACATACCACAGTGTGTGTGTCACTAAAAACAAACATACCACAGTGTACTTCACTAAAACCAACCGGAAGCATGATCTCGTGCTTACCAGTCCAACAGAAAACACCACGGCATGATGAGTTTAAGGAAAAAGCTTGTTTTTGTTTTCTATAAATTTTTTGACAAAAGAAAATCTACATTTCAAAGGCTTATAAATGTATAAAATGCTTCAACAGACTAGTGAGATATGACAATCCTCGTGATATGTTCTTATTACTGTACTCTTACAAAATAGGTATTTTGATCCAGCTACAGAGAATAAACAGCCACCTGAAATCAAATCAGTCTACCACAATCCAAATATATTCCTGTCAGAGTTAGATTTCAAGAAGGTATTTTAAGGGAGAAATAAATAAATAAAATCAGACCATAGCAAATGACCGCGGTGCCAGTACATTACGTACATTAACCTCTAATGCAAATTGCATTAAATCAGTATAGATGGTGTGATGAAATCTATACTGATACATAGTTGTTAGTGTTTAGGTCTGTTCTGTCCCCAGCACAAACGCAACCATACAAAAAACACCCAGGATGGCTAAACTAGGGTCCTTGCACACAGTAAGATAAAACCAGAGATGTTTCTTCTCTTCTTCACATGAAAGGGTCCGCGGCTCTTCTCAACTACAGATTTTGCCCAAGCCTAATAATAGCACAACGCTACATAGCTACATTATCAGGCCCCTAAACAGAACAGTGGAAGAACAAAACAACTTTTAGAAACACTAGGCCCACAGGCTGCAGCTATGACAGCGGCTTTATTCATGCATGTGTTTGAATGTTCAGCTGTTGGAGCTATGCTTTAAGAGAATGAAATAAAAACGGAGAATATCTCCACACTGTACCCAATTTATAACACAATGTTTCACTGAAATGCCTGGCGTGACAAAGAGCTTCTGTTGAGTCTCAGCTCTGTGTGGTTCACTGGCGCTCCATCCATTTGTACATTTGGTATTTCAAATCCTGCTGGAAACCGTTCAAACTGCACAGAATTTAGCGTTAAAATATATAATTATTGTGATCAGTTATGTCACATTTTGCTTTTCTAAGTGTCATAGGTATAGTCTGTATTTCTATAACACTGAACAACTGCAAGCATCATAAAAAGTCAGATTAAGAACAATTATAAAGACCCTGTCAACAGCCAGAAGCTAACAGCTGTCACTACAGCTGCCATAACAACAGCCACAACAACAGCCACAACAACAAGTGTATATTACTTGCATAAGAAGCATTCTATGTAAGTCTCACTGGGCCAGCTCTCATAGTGAGAATATCTGGAGACAACCATGAGAAACTCTGGGCTAAATGTGGGTGTAGACACAGACTCATTAGGGTGGGAACAGACTGAGTGTAACATTTCTAAAACAATCCAACACCTCAAAAAGCAGAGCTTTGGTGCACTTGTCAACGTTGTGTACAACCCTGCGAGACTAGACTGTATAATGTTTGTTTAGTAAAAAGTAGCTGACTGATGGCAGTAAATCATGCTATTATCTTCCATTCTTAATCTGTTTTTGCCTACTCCCCCCTCCTGTTCTTTTCTTAAAAAGTTTGGTATGGTAACATGTGCAACATGTAGTGCTTTGTTCACAAACCTCAGAAAAACAAAATATTGTGTATTGTGAAAACATCAAGTATTACACTGCATTGCTGTATTATCTTCTAGACCATGTTTTACCTCTGTAATGAAGGCATGAAACTGCATGAACTGAATTCAATGCAAGCCTCAACTGGAATCTCTCTGTCCTTGGCTGTGACATTTGTACAGTGAAGGGTATATGTGATCATGCATTCCATCTGAGCTTGAACAGTCATTAAAGTGTTTGTTTGTTTGTTTGTACAGGCAATAGATTGTATGATGCTTGTCTAGTTTTTGTGCGATGATATGGCAGCAGAGGATGATTTGTGTTTACTATGATGGCTTTTCCAGCCCGCTTGGATCTATATTTATAGCTGTGCAGCTGTGTCGAGATCCGGCAGGACAGGAAGCACTGCTGACTGCAATGTCTGCTCAGAACTCTACCTCAAATCAGTCCAGGCAAACTAACCCAGCACACCAGAGACCTCATTTACACCTGATCGTTTCATGAGACATGAGTATCAGGATTATATCCAGACAGAGATGTTTCACATCAGAATGCAGGTGTAAACACACTCAACATGCATTTAAAACTATTTTAAATCTGATCACTCCAACCACTTCAGTAGGACGCATTTTAGCCAGATGTTGTACAAGTGTAAACACATTTATATTTAGTGGTGACAGACCCTCTTTCTGATGTTCAACATATGGGGAAAAATGCCAATTGGTCTGCTACCACTAAATAGTGGCATCAGTTTAGCTCTTAACAAGAGTTTCTTCTCCAAGCTCAATTCAGTAGACTTCAGCAGTCCACGCTAATCAAAATAAAGTGCCAGTTGGTTGATCTTCACTTAACCTTGTCATTATTCACCCTCTTGCTACTTTACATTATATGTTTTAATGCTCGTGGCCCGTGACCACAGTAACTAATACAGAAAGCTTATAACTCTACACACCTGCCTTCTTTATCAGCTGCCAGTGTAATGAAATAAATGACAGCATGCAAAATTGTGATTTTGTGACTAAGAAATCTAGCCTGAAATTGTTGGGTGATGTTAGCTGCATTTCTGACTGTGGGGTAGTAGAGCGATTTAGTAGTCTGAGCATGATAGCCTACCTTTAGATGCTTAAGTAGTTTCAAGTTAAGAAGTTTCAATAAAAAAAAGCTAATTTTAAAGCTCAGAAGGTTTAAAAGAAAAATATCAAATCTGTCTCAGCTAATACTGAATCAAAAAAAATATCAATATCTTCTCAGTATTGAAAAGAAAATGTGGCACTGTGCCATCTCTAACTACACACTCAATACATGTGTTTACTTGTCCTTCATTTCATTCTGTTAAATTCTGCAGTGCTAACAGCATGTGACAAGATACAACTGACATGCTGCCTTTACACATGTACCCAAAAAAACAAAAAGGCACCAAATGACGCAATGCTTCACTGCTGAGAGGCACAATTGAAAAGGAGCTCAGAAGGGGCCTCTCAAAGCAACAAGGCTTTTGCTTCTTTGCTTCCGTCCAATCCTTCTTTTCCCCTTCCTCTCCTGTGATGTAAGCGTTTGGCTTTGGGTAGTGTCTTAGCTGATGGCTACACAGCACCCCCCACCCCATAACCATGCGCTCCAATTCCTCAGAGCACACAGACAAGAGTCATCAGTTCAGGGCCCTGGGCAAAAGAACAGCAGGCACACTAACTGGAGTAAAATTCAGAGTTTTTTTCCTCAACAAAATAAATCACTTTCAAAACTCCCATAAAAACAACTTAGACACTGGGCTGAACAGGAGTTATGTCCCTAAGCCTGACAATGAGGCATATGTATAAATCAAAACAGAGAAATATCAGAATCTGTGGAGCACTCAGCTGACCCACAGACAGACAATAGTTTAAATCAGTGACTCAGTTCCAGCCCTGCAGGACATTTGATCTGT